AAGTGGCGCTGTGGCTCAAGTGGTAGAGCGCTAGCCTTGAGCTGAAGAGCTGAGGGACAGTGCTCAGGCCCTACAACCAGACAAAAAAAAAAGAAAAGGAGAAATTTCTAAAAAAAAAAAAATAAGTTCAGGGGATTGAACTCAGGCCCTCAACTGTAAAATCATACTCTTTTGCACTTATTTCTAAAGTAAGGCCTGGGATTTCTGCTCTGAGTACTACTGGACCACCTATTTTATACTTTTTCCTATAGCAGCCATGTGCCGTTGTACCCCTTCTTCTGTTGAGATGGTGTCTTGGGGACGTTCCTGCCCAGGCTAGCTTTGAACTGTGATCTTCAGATCTCAGCCTCATGAGTAGCTAAGATTACAGGTGTGAGCCACCAGTGCCTGGCTCCTTTAAAAAAATTTTTTTAAAAAAATGAAAATAGCCTTAGACACAGGGCTATAAATTGACACGGCTGTGTTTCAATAAAACTTTATTTATAAAATTGGCTGAATCCAATGGGCTGCTGCTTGCCAACCTCTGAGGTAGAAAATAAAAGAGGTTGCTATTTGAAGAGGTATCTGGTCTTGAGAAGGGAACTTTGAGATGACTGTGGAATCAAACAAGCAGATATAGAATACATTATTTCCTTCTATATCTGCTTGTTTGATTCCACTTAAGCTTAGCTTAAGGAACATTGAGGACCTTGGGTTGCCTTCTAAGTGTGACCAGATTTGAAAGTAGTTTTCATTTAATTTTTGTATTCCATTTCATCTGAGGCGGCATCTACCAAAGCCACCTGCTTACCTCCACAGGATAGCTTTGTAGATCAAAATCATTTGCCAAGCCGGGTACTAGTGGCTCTCTCCTGCCATCCTAGCTACTCAAAGAGGCTGAGATCTGAGGATCACTGTTCAAAGCCAGCCCTGGGTAGGAAAGTCGGTGAGACCCTTATCTCCAATGAACCACGAGGAAACTGGAAGTGGTGGTGTGGGTCAAAGTGGTAGAATGCTAGCCTTGAGCAAAAGAGCTCAGGGACAGCACCCAGGCCCTTAGTTCGAGTCCCAGGACTGACAAAAAAACAAAATCAGAAACAAAACTCATTTGCCATCTGGTGACTTCCTCACCATAAGAAATGAAGGGGAAGACTTAAATATTTTGGTCCATACTCACGGCATATTCTCTTGTTTCTGTAGACAACCTAGCGGCTGAACTAGAGGCCAACCTTGGCCTCATTGAGGAAATATCCGGGTACCTAAAAATCCGACGCTCCTACGCTCTGGTCTCTCTTTCCTTCTTCCGGAAGCTGCGTTTGATTCGAGGGGAGACCTTGGAAGTGGGGTAGGTGGGCCTGATGGTGTGTTTTGTGCCAGGGAAGCTCTTGGGTTAGAAAAATTTAGTTTTTTTTTTTTCTTTTAAAACCCAACCCAGGGCTGGGAAGGTGGCTCAGCGGTAGAGCGCTTGCCTTGCATGCATGAGGCCCTGGGTTCAATTCTTCAGCACCACATAAGCAGAACAACAAAAAAAAAGTTGGAAGTGGCGCTGTGGCTCAAGTGGTAGAGCACTAGCCTTGAGCTGAAGAGCTGAGGGACAGCGCCCAGACCCAGAGTTCAGGCCCCATAACCGGACCCAAAAAAACATAAAACAAAAACCACCAACCCACAGGAAATCAAACACTCTGAAAGTCTTAGTACATGCTTTAAGGGGTGGTATGCCCTCCCCCCAAAACAAACACCCCATCCCCCCAATCTGTTTTACAGTCATTCTTGAGAACAGAAGCAGGGTTACAGCCCCAAATTTGGGGTCCTTACGTGGGGGTGCGTGGCTGGAACTTGCTCACTAGTGTATTCTGGGCTGCTGTAGAGGCAAGAGTTACCAGGAGGGCCCTTTATTGCCATGTTCAATTGGCTGTCGCAGAAATCCAGGTTTCAGGGCTGGGAAGGTGACTCAGTGGTAGAGCGCTTGCCTTGCATGCATGAGGCCCTGGGTTGGATTCCTCAGCACCACATAAGCAAAAAGAAAAAAGCCAGAAGTGGTGCTGTGGCTCAAGTGGTTTAGCGCTAGCCTTGAGCTGAAGAGCTGAGCGTCAGCGCCCAGGCCCAGAGTTCAGGCCCCACGACTGGACCCCCCAAAAAAATGGAAGGGGAGGTTTTTTTGGGGGGGGGGCGGGGAGACTAAATGGAAGAGGAAGGGAACAAGATAATGGGGATGATTATGAACAGAGTATATGGTATCCATGTCTGAGAATGTCCTAATGAAACGCATTGTTTTGTACAGTTAATGTATACTAATTAAAAAAAAGGGGGGGGAACCCATAATCAAAACAGAACGCGAAGCTGGGCTCCAGCCTGGCTCCTGCTGGAGGACAAGCCGTCATGTAACCCGGGTGCCTCTGTCTCTGCAGGAATTACTCTTTCTATGCTCTGGACAACCAGAACCTAAGGCAACTCTGGGACTGGAGCAAGCACAACCTCACCATCATCAATGGGAAACTCTTCTTCCACTATAACCCCAAACTTTGCTTGTCCGAAATCCACAAGATGGAAGAAGTTTCTGGAACCAAGGGACGTCAGGAGAGAAATGACATTGCCCTAAAGACCAATGGAGACCAGGCCTCCTGTAAGTCCCACCGCCTTGGTGCTCCCAGCCAGATAACCCACGGAGGAGAAATTGCAGAAGGAAGAGAATTAGGCGGGGAAAATCTCCTCCTCCTCCTCTTCTTCATCCCCCTCCTCCTCTTGGACTGAGATCCTATCTCAGCCTCCTGATTGGCTGGGATTACAGGCAGTCACTGCCACACCCTTCTGAGAGCAGTATAGATTGGAACCCAAGAACTAAGAGGGACGAGGAAAGAGAGGCTCGACCCCACTTAGTTCTGTCATGGATGGAGACTGAGCAGAGCAGAGTCATGCTGTGGCTTAGAATGTTCCAGCAGGCACCCTGCCTTTGACCCAGCTGCGAAATCAGCACACTGGGGCTCTGGTCAGCCCTTGGAAGTCCAAGAAGACATTAAGTCTTGGATGGAGTTTGGGAGAGGGTTCAAATCCCAGACAGGCAGAATGACTCTGCCCCTGTCTATTCACAGTTGGACAGTTGGGTCTGTCCATGCTCATTTGCATGGACTCATTTGCATACAGATTAGCCAATCTGTGATATCATACACCTTCATGTGCAGGACCACACTGAATGTGGTGTGTGAGTGTGTGTGTGTGTGTGTGTAAGTGCATGTGTGTATGGAAAATCAATGAAACCCTGACCAAACTGGTTGCTAGTGGCTCATGCCTGTCATCCTAGCCACTCAGGAGGCTCAGATCTGAAGATTGAGGTTTGAAACTATCCTGGGCAGGAAGGTCCATGAGACCCTTATCTCCAGTGAACTACCAAAAATCTGTGGCTCAAGTGGTAGAGTGCTGCCTTTGAGCTCAGGGACAGTGCCCTAAGTTCAAGCCCCACAACTGACAGAAAAAAATGCTGGAAGTGGAGGTGTGAATCAAGTGGTAGAGCGCCAGCCTTGAGCAAAAGAGCTCAGGGACAGCGCTCAGGCCCCAAATTCAAGCCCCACAACTGACAAAAATAAAAAATGAAAAAAGAAACCCTGACTCAGCTGGGCGCTGGTGGCTCACTTCTGTAATCCTAGCTACTCAGGAGACTGAGATCTGAGGATTGTGGTTCAAAGCCAGCCTGGGCAGGAAAAGTCTGAGAAACTCTTTATCTCTAATACTCACTCAGAAAACCTGAAGTGGTGCTGTGGCTCAAGTGGTAGAGCACTAACCTTGAGCTGAAGAGCTGAGGGACAGCGCCCAGGGCCAGAGTTCAAGTCTCATGACTGAAAAAAAAAAATCCCTTGACTATTGGGGCTAGGAAGGTGGCTCAGTGGTGGAGTGCTTGCCTTGCATGCATGAGGCCCTGGGTTCGATTCCTCAGCACCACAGAAGCAAAAAAAGCCAGAAGTGGCGCTATGGCTTAAGTGGTAGAGCGTTAGCCTTGAGCTGAAGAGCTGAGGGACAGTACTTAGGCCAAGTTCAAGCCCCAGGACCGACAAAAAAAAAAAAGAAAAAGAAAAAGATAAAAACCTTGACTGTGAAAATAATATCTACTTATTCTGAAATAAGTAGATATTACATTCTATTTATATAGATACTTTAATTATGCATGTGGATCAGTGTTCCCAACGGGAGTACCTTTTCTAGGGGGCGTGGCCTAGTTGTGCAGTCTGGTATTCAGTTAAACCCCTGATTTAGTGCAGTCTTGGCTAGCTACCTGGCTTGGCCTTGATCTGGGCAAACCCCCTGCTCAGATTATGTTTTGGCCTGAACTGAACACCACCCCTTATCCTAATGGCTGGATTGTCTTCTTTTTTTTTTTTTCATTCTTTTCTCTTTTTCTTCCTTTTCAACTTTCCTAGGTGAAAACGAATTACTTAAGTTTTCCTTCATCCGCACATCATATGACAAGATTATGCTGAAATGGGAGCCCTACTGGCCCCCCGATTTCCGAGACCTCTTGGGGTTCATGCTCTTCTACAAAGAGGCGTGAGTAGTGAGAGGCAGGGTCAGGAGAGATGGCGTGGAGGGGGGGACTCCCACCCCAGTCGGGGGGACTACACCTCATTATTTCCTTCCTCTGCATGAAATAAATAATAGTCTACTTCCCTTTGGACGATCTTGGTGGTTCTTATTGCAGAAAGTCAAAAATATCCCCTTAGGCTGGATGCTGGTACCTCATGCCTATAATCCCAGCTACTCAGGAGGCAGAGATCTGAGGGTCACAGTTCAAAGCTAGCCTGGGTAGGAAAGTCCATTAATCTCTTATTTCCAATGAACCAACAGAAAACCGGAAGTGGAATTGTATGGCTTCATGTGCTAGAATGCTAGCCTTGAGCAAAAGAACTCAGGGACAGCACCTAAGCCCTGAGTTCAAGTTCCACAACCAAAATAAACAAACAAACAAATAAATAAATCCCCTCATATCAAAGATCTGAAATTAAGGCTGACAGTTTTCATGTAGCGGTTGGTTCTGGAGGAACTTTTATGGAGGGAGAGAAGATTCGGGGTTTTTCCTATGTTGTCCAGGCTGAGTCTTAAATCTTGGGCTCCAGGGATCTTCCTGGTTCATCTTCCTAAGTAGCCAGGACTACAGGTATGAGGCACCCTACCCTGCCATAGGTCCAGAGTTACTCATTTCCTAGAACATTGTTCCATTGTGTGTATCAGACAGCCTTAGCAATCAGGCATGTAGTCCACTGAGTTATTTTTTAAGAAAAATATTTCTGAATCCATTTAAATGTATTTTCCAACATAATTTTTTTTTTCAGTCATGGGGCTTGAATTCTGGCCCTGGGCACTGTCCCTCAGCTCTTCAGCTCAATGTGAGCTTACTCTACCACTTGAGCTACAGTGCCACTTCCGGTTTTATGGCAGTTTTCAAAATAAGAGTCTCATGGACTTTCCTGCCAGGGATGGCTTTGAACCTTGATCCTCAGATCGGCTCAGCATAATTTTTATGAAGGTGCCTAGCATTACCAAAACCCAGATTTAAGATTCCAAACCTGGTTTGTGCAGAATGCGTTTATTTTTGTACTGGCATAAATCCAACAGATTGTAAAGCAAAAGGGTTTTTTGAGCCGGGCAGTGCTGGTGGCTCATGCCTATAATCCCAGCTACTCAGGAGGC